AATGTTTGAAAACTGACTTCAGTTCTTTATTCGTCACTAATTGATCAGTTAAACTCCACAAGCTTCTACATTCTGCTCGCGCCTTGTAATATTAACCTGCCCTTTGCGTTATCGAGTACACAGAAGCAAAAAACTTTTTGTTTTATAGCCTTTATTCAGGGATTATAATCGCAACTTGTACTAGAACATGAGTCGTTGGAGTAGGAATGTTTTGACAAAGAGCTGTTAGCTTCCATACGGCTGGGAGCGAATAAGGAAGCACAGTTTGCAGTTCACCTCACTTTAAAATTATAAAAATAGGTTGAAGTTAGAGTTGATGTTATTTGTCAAGTTACAATGGAATTTTAAAGTCGATTTTCTGGTTTCAACCCACAACGTTTCACAAATAGTTTTAAATGTTTTTAGCCTATGCGTTTATTTGCGAGTTATAAATTTTGCTAGAACTCATTTTGGGCTAAAAATCTGTAGAGCGCATATGGAGTTATTAAACAGTTTCAAGTTAGTGGCCCCTATCGCTGATACTTCGATGATATGAAATGCTTCACGTCTAGAGCCCGTACAACATTGGTAATGAGGAAAATGGATAGCGTGACACGAACACTTTCAGAAGCCGGCCACATGCTTTTTCTGGTATTTTTGGCAGCTGTATTTCTTGCCGCAAGCGCAACTGATGATCCGAAAGGTAGTAATTTTGTGTTTTTGCACGTCTATACAAATAAAAAGAAAGCATATTGGCGAAAGGTCACCGGTGTGTGTAGGGTGTGTTCGGATTCTGTCACTAACTTTCAACTCAGCAATCAGAAAAGCTAGAAAGCTCACGAGGATATTCTTTGCCCGAATGCGACCCGAACAGCTTAAACTAACTCTCTGGTACGCCTCTGTCACATGGAGGAATGTCTAAAACAGAAAATGTAAATTTTTTGGAGAGAAAGGGGCTTCCGAAACTGGGCCAGACTGGGAGCTGAAACTTCATAAAGATATTTCGCGCCCCAATGTGTGCCAAAGATTTCAAATTCAGCTTTAATGCACGCGTGGGTCATGCATACGGCCACGTCGAAGTTAAATTTAGAAATCTGCTAGCTCAAGAAATATGCAGAACAGAATACGCTGATTTTAAACGAACATTTGCTCGCTATGTCGCCAAGTCCGTGAACATAAAATTGGCTTTCGCGTACGCTTGTATCACGCTTACAGGCATAACAAATATATTCGTGGAGAAATTCAATTTGAGCAGTTTAAAAAATTTGAAGAAAAAACTGCCTGGCTTCTAATTTTTGAGTGAATTATAATTCATTAGATGCACGCTCGGCTTTCAATTTCCAGTCCCGTTCTCTTGCTTTATCGAATTAAATTAGTGGTATTTAGTATGAATTAAGCAACTTTAATGATTCTTTCATCCCTGATTAATTACAGAGATCCGAAAAATCTGCGTCGATTCACTGAAGCATGCTGAAGTTGGTAGTGCAGAAGAAGAATTGCAAAACGGCATCGACTTGTACAAATAGTAATTAATTATCGCCGCATTCTAGCATTTTAAATCATTGGAAATTTCAAAGTTTTAAATCAACTGAAAAAGCGCTTTGTTTCCAGCATGTTCGAGAACTATCCGCAGTATCGAAAATATTTCAAAGGCAAGGAAGAATACAAAGCCGATGACGTGCAAAAAGATGACTTTTTCAAAAAGCAAGGTAGGACGTTGTCTTCGACAGATTATTTAGTTAATATTCCTTCGTTTGGATCACTGAAGCGGAATTGCCGTCGCAACAAAAATGAAAGATGTCACTTGGATTCGCGATGTAACTGAACAAAACCGTATGATAAGTGCACACTACGGGATCAGCGCGTTCATGCGTTTTGTTAAAAGTTGTTGCATGCTTGTACTACGCGAATGAAACAGAGCTTTTTATTTCGTCGCACTGGCTTTTTTTTAAACATTCGCTGGAAAGGCCCGCCGCAGTGGGTAAAGATTTAGGACTTTTTTACTGTAAGCTGTGACTGTGCGTTGTGAGGGCTAATGCTTGTTCTGCTCTTCATTCTTGTTTTCTTTCACGAATTCCTTTTTTTAAGATCAGTGGGCATGATGTTTCGCAGGCGAAACATGTTGTATGCTTTTCCGGCAACTTAACTGTTTGAG